TAGAAAGAATGAGACATGGAAGAGTAGGAGGACAAGGAGATATATCAATGAACGCCCCCGTGCTTGGAGCAGCCGCAGCACTGGTGACCGCTGCTGCTGTGGTTCAAAGTTGGAACTGCGGAAGCGCCCCCCACCACCACCAGATCTGCAGTGAAAACAAATCGGGTCTTCCTACCATGCGACCTCCTCTGGAGCTTGCAGGAGAGATTTGGAGGAGGAAAATGATGTCTCTGCGCACCCCCTTGCAGACTCCATAAGGTTTCCCGGTGGCATTTGAAGGGTCTTATCGTGCCTCCTTGGGTTTCTTGGTGGCCTTCTTGGCTGTCGTGGGGCCTTCTTTGGGCGCTTCCGGGCCGTGTTGGAGGTATGCGGTGCTGTTTGTTTGCCCTATTGTTGTCGTTTTGTTTGTTGCGTCATGGGGCCCTATTGGCTAGTCTTGGGCGCCCCTCTGGGGGTTGCCGAGGCCTTCATATAAGAATCTCTCAGAGGCCTACGGAGCCATCGAGCCCCGAGGGCGAGGACGCGGAGATTGATGTCACACATTCGCTAGGCTTGCGTTTGCAATCGGCCGTGGCAGCGTCACCAATGCCAGGACAGGGCCCCAGAGAGCCTTTGAGAGGGCCCCTCGGGAGTTCCGAGATGCCACCCACGGTGCTCCAAGCCGACGGGGCGAGATGGTTCCAGAAGAAGCCCAAGTCTTCTCAAGGTCGCCCAAGAGGGGCTGGCCTGCGCCACGTGTGCCACTGCACGGTCGGGCCGTCTCGTGTCGACGCGGCGGCGACCCCGCCTCGGGCGTTCAAGGCTGAACGCCGCGAGTGGCTTAGAATTGGCCACTCTGGAATGGCTCGGCGATCGAAGAGCCGCCGGCTCTTCAAGGTTGAACGGTCCACGCGGCGTCGGAAACCAACGCCAACGTCGCGATGACACGAACCCACCGTATGTCCAGACGGGGGGCATCAGCGCCAGTACTCGCCCTCTCTACGGACACCCCTCCAATCCCCACGGGCTACCAACCATCCCGACCCGAATCGTTCACAAAGCATCCACACTCCTGCGCTGCTCCATTCCTCCCCTGGGTGCGTTCTCTGAAGGGCTGAGATCGTAGGGGCGTGTTTTTTTTTCCAGCCCGGTGCACTAATTGTTGCGAAGCCGCTCTGGACCCCCAAAAGCTTTCAGAGGACCCTGAGACAACAGAAAAGCTTCGAGATGCTCCCAGGATGGCCCCAGGCGGCCCCAACGGGGGACTTGGAGCCACGGCCAGTCTTGGGAGAGCCCCCGCCGCCCTTGGAGGGATCCCACGTGGCCCAGAAGGGGCAGGCAAACAGCGGGGCGGACGAGGGAGTGGGGAAGAAGGGTGAGGGCGAGAAGGAGGAGGAGGAGCAGGATGAGGAGGAGGAGGAGGAGGATGAGGAGGAGGAGGAGGGGGAGGAGGAGGAGGAGGAGGAGGAGGAGGCGGCGCAGGGGCAGAAGGAGAAGCGGATGCAGGAAATGGGGAGCAGAAGGAGGGGGAATCACGTGAGGATAAGGAAACAGAGAGGAATAATGATCAGCAGGAGGAGCAGGTGCACCAAGATGGAAAAAAGAGGGTGGATAATGAAGAGGAGAGCAAGGAGTATACACACGTGTTTGGAAGAGGAAAAGAGGAATGCTGAAACGCAGGGAATGGAGAAGGAATGAGGAGGAGGAGGAGGAGGAGGAGGAGGAGGAGGAGGAGGAAGGGGAGGAGATCGCAGGAGAACGAATGAGGCTGCGGAGAAGAAGGACAAACACAAAGAGGAGGGAGGAAACGCATGTGCGTTGCAGTGCCCACGGATTTGATTCGGGGAGGGAGAGGAATATGTGTAGGACGGGGTTCACGAGGATCGGGAACAGGAGGGAAAAGAGAAGGAGAAAACGGGGAGGGGAGAAGACAGCTGAGCGATTGAAGATAACGGGCTCGTCTTCGGCCACATTTGCGCGTAAGCTGCCCGCGCAGGGTCGCGCGTTTGCGCCGCGTAAGCCGCGGCTCGAGGTCGTTGTGGCATCTCGCCGCGTAAGACCCGTTCCTTTTCGTCGCTAAGATTAGGACGACGAGAGAACAATGAATAATGATGCAGGGGTGTCGAGGATGACAGGGCGAGAGGACAAGCTTGTGTTTCTTATACATCCCTGTGCCCACCGGGTTCAGCTTGCTGGCTTGTTGATTATGTGCGTTCTTTGTTCAGGGTAGGTTGCCACATGTAGTGTTGGTAAGTGCTCCCGGGTATGTAGGTATGTTTACTTGGCGTCTTATCAACGAACATGTCCATGAAGGTATTCCGCCTCAGTATACTGAACATTGCGACGCGCTGCTCTTCAAATCGATTGTGATCGTCATAAGAGTGTCCGTCGATGTCATTGTTGTTAATCTTCGATGCGTGTGGTGCATACCATCGCCACCAGCATCGCCGTTATCGCGTGCCTGTTTGGATATGTAGTCTTAGCTGTATGAGTTTGCATGTGTGCTAAATACTGACATTCAGAATGCACGCACACGTGCTTAGACCACAACGTGCCCAACGATGGCCCCTGCCCGATGAGCCTCCCAGTTGCGACAGGGGCGCCGTGGTGAGGGCCTCGAGGCAAACCCAGTGCGGGCCAGGGGCTCCCCGAACCGATCCAAGGCAGCCGATCTTCGTCGGGCTCGCGAGCGGCACCTCCCGCGCGTTACCTTGCGCCGCCCAGAACGCGGACGACCGCGATCTCTCCAGTGCGGAAGTGTTTGCTCCTCCCCCGCGTTCGGCCTCCGGGAGTCTCTGGAGCCTGGGACCGTCGAGCAAACGATTCTGGGTGACACGGCGGCCCTCCGGGGGAGGTGGCCGGGACCTGAGTGGGTCTCCGCTCCTCGAAGCAGAGAGCGACAGAGTAGTTGTTCTGTCATATCGCCGATCGGCGCCGACCCCTGCCCCCTCCTCCTTCAGACCAGACCGTGGCTGCTTTTGGAGGCTGCTTTCGCGACTCGTCGGGGCCCCCCTTCTCCCCCCAGTCTGCTTGCGCGACTGGTCAAAGCAGGTCGACTAGGCACCGGCCCAGACCCAGACCCCCCCTCACCCTTTGGCCAGATGTCGACACCCTTTTTTTCCATAAGTATGTGTATATCTGTGTTTGTATGTATGTATGTAATGTAAGGTAAGGTAAGGTAAGGTGAGGTGAGGTGAGGTGAGGTGAGGTCATGGGCTGTAATGGAATGGTATGTTATGGTATGTTATGGTATGGTATGGTATGACATGCTATGATATGATATGTTATGTTATGATATGATATGTTATGTTATGTTATGTTATGTTATGCGATGTCATGTCATGTATGTACGTGTGTATGTGTGTATGCATGTAGGTATGTCTGTCTGTCTGTCTGTCTGTCTGTCTGTCTGTCTGTCTGTCTGTCTGTCTGTCTGTCTGTCTGTCTGTCTGTATGTATGTATGTATGTATGTATGTATGTATGTGTGTGTATATATATATATATATATATATATCCGTGCACGACGCCCGGAGGCCGAGGGCGGCTGCCCCGAGGGGGCGCCGAGGGCGGCTGCCCCGAGAGGGCATGGGAGTACCAGGGCTCATTTCCCTTTTGTTTTACAGGGTTTCCGCGTCCTGGGCCTCGGAGGCCGCCGCCTCCGACCCCTTGTGGGAGGACGGGGCGGCCGGGGAGGTCCAACACAGTCCAGGAGGGCCTCCAGAGGCTCCCAAGACGGCCCAAGCGGGCCCCGAGTCGCCGATAGACCGCTCCAGGACGCCCAAGATAAACCCAAGACGGCCCGAGAGGCCCCCCAAGGCACTCCACGACGCTTCAAGACGCCTCTCCAGAGCGCTTGAAGAGGCCGAAATCGTCAATTTTACTGCGGTTTTCGAACGATTTTGGCCTTCCAGCCTTCTCGGCTGTTCGACATTCCAAGACGGCTCAATAGGCCCCCAAGAGCGCCCCAAGACGGCCCCAGAGTCGCCCGAGACAGCCCAACAGAGCCCCAAGACGGCCCCAAGATGCGCCCAAGGGGACCACGACTCCAAAATTCGACCCTCCCGCTTGAAGAGTGCCCCAGGAGGCCCCAAGGAGCCCCCAAGAGGCCCCAGGAGGCCCCCAAGAGGCCCCCAGGAGGCCCCCAAGAGGCACCCAGGAGGCCCAAACGATGCCTAAAGAGGCCACAAAACAGCCCCGAGGAGGCCCCACAACGGTCCCAAAACGGCTACCGAGAAGCTGCGAAACTGCCTTCACGACGTCCCCGACGGGCCAACCACGAGATCCAAACCAACACCCATGAGGCCTCTGACCCACCACCCAGGGCACTGTGGCGGGAGCAGTGACAGCACTTGTGCACAGCATGTTCCGGCGGCAGCCTTCCGGAACACGCTGCAGGAGGAGGAGGAGGAAGATCAGGAGGAGAGAGAGCTGGAGTGGGAGGCACCAAAAGCTTCCCGAGGGCCGAAAAGGGGCCCCTAGGAGACGTCCAAGAGGTTTTAAAATAGCCCAAGAGTGCCCTCGATGCGTCAAAACTGCTTCCAGGAGGCCCCCGGGAGGCTTCCGGATTGCCTCAATCTGGCCGCAGGTGGCCTCAAGTCGGGCCTCCACGCAGCCAAGACGGCCAATGACGGCTTCAGATTGCAGAACCGATGCCCCCAAGGGACCCTCAGACGCCCCCCCAAGAGGCACCCAAGAGGTGCCTCCAACAGCCAGTTGACGAAGCATGCGGAACACCCAAGCAGCTCCTCAGATGCCGTCGCGCGCCTGTGCTTGATAGCGTTGTCCAAGATTGTCCAGCTCCCCCCCGGCCTGGGCTAGAACCTGAGCGCGCGCGAAGCGCGCGCGATGGTTCTAGTATATATATATATATATATATATATATGTATGTATGTATATATATATATATATACGTATACGCATATATCATAACAAAAATATCAGTGGAGCAGCAGCGGCGGCGGCGGTAGCAGGACGCAGCGGGGGGAGGTGGAGCGGAAGCTGCTGCCGCCCTGTCGCGCAGGCTCCGAGCTCGGCGGTCGCGACGCACCCGCCGCCGGCTGCGGGGGCGACCCCGTGGGCCCCATGGCGGAGGCCATCCTCGCCGCGCCTCGTCGTCGTCGCCGTCATCGTCCGTCGTCCGTCGTCCTCGTCCGTCGTCCGTCGTCTATCGTCCGTCTTCCGTCGTCGTCGTCGTCGCCGTCGTCGTCGTCGTCGTTGACGGTCGCGAGGAGGGACACATTGCACAGGAATGCGTTTGTTCAGGTCTGGGCGATGACGGCCGTGATCAGCCCTCTCCCCCCCCCCCAGACCACGCCACTTGATCTCGCCCACATGTGCAAATATGGCCCACGGATTCTTCGAGGATTTCCTATAAAGTCTTGTGTGTGCACCCCGCCGTGATGTGACCGGGGGGGGGGGGGCGAACTCCCTCCCCGGGCCCCGACCACGCCCGTGATCTCAGCTGTAGATCTTCAGATGGTAGTTTTCCAACGGGGCATTTCCCGCAGTGCCATTACATGTTCGTAGGGACCCATGAAGAGGGAACTCGGCGAGAGGGCTTACGTAAATAGTGTTGACGAATCTAGGGTTTACACTGGTCCTCCTCCTCATCCTCCTCCTCCTCCTCCTCCTCCTCCTCCTCCTCCTCCTCCTCCTCCCCCTCCTCCGATCACGCCCGTTATCGCAAATAATTAACACGGGCTCCAGCCGAGGAGGAGAACTACCGAATGCCGCTGCCATTCCCGCGTCGCCGCAGCCGCATTTGCCTCGGATTCTTGGTCAGCACGCGGCTCAAAAGAGGCCTGGGAGTCGCGGCATCGGCATCTTTCGTGTGAGGAAAGGGTGCCCATACCGCTACGTTTCGCCCGTGTTCCCTTTTCTGGACCTCCTGGGAGGACCTCGTCGCCACCGCTGTATTCGGTACATTTTGGTTTCCCCGATCGTTTGCTTTCGGCGCAAACATCTATCGGCGGCGAGCGAAGAGGGGAAGTGAGAAGGGGCGGGCCTTCTCAGAAGGTTCGGGAGTCCCCCAGCCTCTGCGAAATGTTCCAGGCCTTCCCCGAAGACAGAAAAAGCCTCTCAGAAGGCGCGAGGGCCAGTGCCCACGGGTTCCCGCGGATGTCTTGGAGCGGCTCTGGCGCCACTAAGTGGCGCCTGCGGCGCCGCTCCTGGCGCGCTCTGCGCACCAGGGAGGGGTGTCCGGCGCCGATCCAAGAGATCCGCGCGGACATTCGACATGTTGTATTTAGGTCTCGTTTGTCCGACACTTGAGCCGTGCCGCCCCCAGAGAAGAGAAGAAGGACGAGGAGGAGGAGGAGGAGGAGGAGGAGGAGGAGGAGGAGGAGGAGAGGAGGAGGAGGAGGAGGAGGAGGAGGAGGAGGAGGGTGGGAGGAGGAGGAGGAGGTGGAGGGGGAGGAGGAGGAGGAGGAGGAGGAGGAGGAGAGGAGGAGGAGGAGGAGGACGAAGGACCAGGAAGAAGAGCAGGAGCAAGGGAGGAGGAGGAGCAGGAGGAGGGAGGAGGAGAGGGAGGGAGGAGGAGGAGGAGGAGGAGGAGGAGGAGGAGGAGGAAGGGGAGGGGGGAGGAGCATGAGGAGCAGGAGGAGGAGGAGGAGGAGGAGGGGAGGAGGAGGAGGAGGAGGAGGAGGGGGAGCTCGCGGCCCCGTCGCCCTCGCCCCCCTTGCAGCCAGGGGCGCTGCAAGAGGGGCCGCTCGCTGGCCTCGGGAGGAGCTCTCGGGCTCCTCGACCCGCTCCCGAGAGTCGTTTCTCGTGGCCCGGGCCGGCCGTGGCCGGGAAGGAGCGTTGGCCCGTGGCATCGTCGGCGTTCCTCGTGGCACAAAGCCGCCGAATTGGGGATATGAGCAGGATGGGCTTGTTTTCCACCACCACCACCACAAGTTGGAAGGGGAGTGGATCCTCCTCCTTCTCCTCCTCCTCCTCCTCTTCGTCCTTCTCCTCCTCCTCCTCCTCCGCCTCCTCCTCCCTCCCCCATCCAACTTATGGTGGTGGTGGTGGAAAACAGGCCCATCATGAGCAGGAGGAGGGAGGACGAGGAGGAGTACTAAAACAACGCGAAGATCGGGACAAAATCGGATCGGGGTAACTCGAAATCTCTGAGAATCGGCGGGCTTGGAGGATGTATTGGGCGCCGCGGCCGCTCCAGAGCGTTCCGGAACGCTCTGAGAGCGCTCCGGAACGCTCTGGAGCGATTTATCCCGATCCTAGCCCTGTTTTAAGGGAGGACGAGGAGGAGTACAGAGAGGAAGAAGGAGACGAAAACGAAACGGCATGAGCATCCGTTTTTGGCGCTCCGCGCGGATCTCTTGGAGCCGCGCCGGGGCCCCCCTGGCGGTGCCTCCGGCGCCGTGGCCTGAAACGTTTGCCTGCTGTTTTGGAGAGCGTTCACTATGGTGGCGCGATGTCTGTACTTTTTGGTTCGCGGCTCCAAGGCGAGGGACAGGGAGCGGGTACAACGTCCGGGGCGCGGTACGATGCAAATTGGCCGCAGTGGCGTATGCACATGCCAGGGACAAGATGTCCCTCATTGAGACGCAAGACAGCGTCGGCAGGTGACCGGCCCAGACAACCCGGCAGGTGGGGAAGCCGATGTCTGTCCTCGCAGAAGAAAAAGCGCAATAAGCACAAACTATTGGCGCTCCGCGTGGATCTCTTGGATCAACGCTGGGGGCCCCCTGGCGGTGCCTCCGGCGCCGCCCCCGGCGCGCTCCGCGCGCCAGGGAGGGGGTCCAGCGCAGATCCAAGAAGTCCGCGCGGAGCGCCAACAGTTTATGTTTATGCCGCTTTTTCTTCCATGTGTTCTTCTTCGTCTTTTTTCCTCTTGCTCATTCCCCAATTCGGTGTTGCCTAAGGGGTGCTTCTTGTAGTGGCCTCCAGCCAGTGCCGCCGATCCGGGGCGCTCCGGATGATGATGATGATGATGATGATGATGATGATGATGATGATGATGATGATGATGATGATGATGATGATGATGATGATGATGATGATGATGATGATGATGATGATGATGATGATGATGATGATGATGATGATGATGATGATGATGATGATGATGATGATGATGATGATGATGATGATGCTGAGGATGAGGATGAGGATGAGGATGATGATGATGATGATGATGATGATGATGATGATGATGATGATGATGATGTTGATGATGGTGATGTGACGATGGTGATGGTGATGGTGATGGAGATGGTGATGATCCCGGCCCCCCCTCCCCACCTCCCCTCCTCTCTCCTGTCCCCCTCCCCCTCTCTCCTGTCCCCCCCCTCTCCTTCTCTCCTTTCCCTCCTCCCTCCCCGCTCTCTCTCCTGTCCCCCACCCCCTCTCTCCTGTCCAACCCCCCTCCCTCTCCCCACCTCTCTCCTGTTCCCCCCCCCTCTCTCCTGTCCCCCCCCCCCCTTCCCTTCCCATCTCTCATTTCCCTTCCCCTCCTCCCTCCTCCGCCTCCTCCTCCCTCTCCTCCTCCTCCTCCTCCTCCTCCTCCTCCATTTCCTCCTCCTCCTCATCCTCGCATTGCCTTGTTTAGCAGGCGCATTGTCTGTGAACGCCTGAATTCCGACTTTTCCTGCCTAAGCGTCGAACTGCGTATGGTTTCGTGCTCGTGGTGCCGTTATGGGGCCTTGGAGCCATCAAGGATCTGGGGCGAAGAATTGCGGGAGCAGTCGGGGCCTTTTTGGTCGCGGATTCAGAACAAGTCGCACTGGTGGATTTCAATCAGAGAACGTTGCTCGTCCTGGAGTGCCCTGCTCGCCACGGCTGGAATGTCCTGTAAAGTATGGTCACACGCACCCCAGGAGAGGTCAGCTGAGTAGCGGACCTCTCCTGGGCCAGGCTTAGGTGTCGTTTTGCTCCCCCACTCTTGGCAGCAGCACTGGCAGCACGATGTGCGCCAGGAGTGAGCGGACACGTGCTGAGTGAGTTGCCTGGCGTGTCTCCTGGCAGCAGTGCTGCTGACACGAGATGGCTGTCGGACGGGGGCGGGCACGCCTGCAGCGAGCCTCACGGCAAGCCTCTTGGCCGCAGCGCTGGCGGCCCGATGATTACGCACCGCAGCGAGCGGGTACCCTTTTCGTTGGGGAGGGGCTCCGCGTCCCTTAAGTGCTTCACAGCTTGCCTCAGGCTTTCCTTATTTCTTCGACAGGAAATCGAAGATTAACCTATGGGAAAAAAGGGCCTCGTTCCTTATTTAGGGTTCCTTAGGGCAACGCCCCGACTGTACGCTCGGGGTGAACCTCCCGACAACAATGCTAGCCAAGCGATGTGCGTTGCTGGCGAGCGGGCGGGCTTGGAGTGGTGTTCCTAGCAGCTGCGCTGCTCGCGCGGTGTGCGCCGCGATCGAGCGGGCACGCAGGGGCAACCTGCAGGAGGCCCACGGGAGGGACACCACCCCAGGGCACCAGAGTTGTGGGAGGTTCGAAAACAAGCAGAAGAGTTTTCCAGGCAAGCCTAGTATAGCAAAAAACAGAGTTGTCGTCTTACTCGTTTTCCTCGCCTAGCCCCTATTCGTCCCCCCTCCCTCCACATTCCTTTCACTCACCCCCTACGGCTCGTCGTCTGCTTGATCTTCATAGTCATCGTCGTCCTCATGATCCGGTTCCCCCGTCTCCTCCTCATTACCGCTGTCTCGCGCAGTCGACCTCGTGTTTAGAGTCATAGACCCAGTCACAGTCGAAGCCGTGGCGTGAGACATCCTGGCCCAAGTCGTTTGGACCCAGGTGCCCAACACCAGATCCGCTGTTGACGTCCATGCGTTCACAAGGATGGTTCTCGAGGCCTTCGCCATTTTGTTCATGTCGCTCGTGGTGTTCACGGGGGGCATTCGCACCGCAACGGGTCTGCTGGCGGGTGTGCCCGCAACCGGGGGGGAAATGCCTCGCGGCGGCAGGGGACAGAGGTGCGCGCCTGCCTTTCACCCGCTGGCAGCTTGCTCACCTTCGTACAGCACTGACACGGGGGCTCTGAAACCACCAGTGATGCAGGTACTGTGACTTTGCAGAATGACGCAACGAGTTCCCAATCCACCAGGAATCCAGATTGGATGGTCGGGGGCAAGTCCGTCGCCTGCTTGGACACGCAGTGCGCGAATGGAGTCTCGACAAGCTTGTTTTCGATCTGCTCTGGTAAAAGCAGCTACAGCGACTGGGCGGTCTCCGAGTTTACGGTGGCTGGCTGTGGAGCCGTCCAGCTTCATTCTTCTGACAGGCAACAGCTGGACTTTGATGGAGGGCTACTCCAATCTGTACCCTGCGACAATGTCGGGAAGCGTGGCGTGCCCGACGACGAACAGCCCGACTCCCAGCCCCACGCCCTACCCGACGCCCTATCCGACGCCCTTCGTAACGCCCTCTCCGACGCCCTATCCGACGCCCTACCCGGCAGCCTTCCCGACGCTACCCGACGGCCTTCCCGACGCCCAGCCCGACGCCGGGCCCGGCGGGGGCCCCAAGATGCCGAAAACGATGAAAGACCTTCGTTCAGAGCGTGACGTACCTACCCCGCTTTCGCTTCCAGGAAAAACCAAGTCATACCACGTGCCTCCTCGTCAAGCGGCCTGACCAGTACAGGCCGTAGTTTGGCATCGCTTGGTATCTCCTGGAAGCGAGGGTGGTCAAAAGCGAGGTAGGTTTGTTTTCCCCCTATTCGTACTGAATGTTTTTTCTACTTTTGGCAGGCTGGGGGCCCGCCTCCTCCCCCACCCTCCGTCGGCAGCAAGTCATGGGAGCCTCGTGTGTCCTCGGGGAATTCCCTCTTCGGGGTGCGCTCGCTTGCGCCAGCGTTTGGCAATCGATGAGCAGGCGCCGATTTGGCGTCGACGAGCGCCGGTTTAGCGCCGATCCAGCGTCGATCCGCGTCGCGCAGCGTCGGGCAGCGTCGATCCGCAAGGGCCAGCAAGATGGCATTGGGGGCTCCTGTTAGTCGCCGCAGCACCATCGAGAGTCAAAGACCCCCTGACCGTGGTAACGCAGTGAAGACGTGGCCTCACTGAGGTCCCCGTCTTTGTATTATATGAAGGATTATATGTATGGGTGGTTTGTTTTGGTACTCCTGCATAGAAGTCTCCCTTTATCCAGAATTTGTTGGGCCTCCTGACTCAGGTCCCCACCTAGAGAGTTATTGGAGCTTCTACAGTAAACCCGCATAGTGAGGATGGGCATCCTCCCCAAGCGTACCCTTGCACTCTCGCCCATTTCGGCCCATCCTCAGCGACTTTCGCTGGCCAGCCTCGTTCGCAAAACGTTAACATCAGCCTCCAAGGCCCCTGCATCCTGACCGCCCATCCTTATGGTACAGGTCGACTGTCATTGCTTATCGCAGCACCCTCCCGGAGGGGCCGCCTGTGGTCGTCGCAGATGGCGGAGTGCTGGCCCCCCCTGCGGCCGCCGCCCCTGCCCCGCCTGGGCGCGCTGCAGGAGACCCCTTCCGCGCCCCCCCCCCCCGAGGCCCCGCCCCCTCCGCGCCCTCCCCCGCGGGGGAAGAGGAGGGGGAGGGGGAGGGGGAGGAGGAGGGGGAGGGGGAGGAGGAGGAGGAGGGGGAGGAGGAGGAAGAGGAGGAGGAGGAGGAGGAGGAGGAGGAGGAAGACGAGGAGGAGGAGGAGTTGGAGGAAAACCACGGGCTGAAGTCGCGGGGGCCGGCCGCCGTCGACGTCGGCCCGCCCCGTGCTACCCGTTGCCGCGCGCCGCGGCGGGCGATCGCCCATCGCCACCTCCGCGGCCGCCCCCGCTGCTGGGCGGCCGCGGGGCCCCCACCCCGCGCCACTGCGCGGGGGGAGGCAGCAGGCAACAGGGTCGCCACCTGCACCCCCTGCCTCCCCCCACCAGCGAGGAGGGGGCGCCGCTGCAGGAAACTCGCCGAGGCGCCACGCCGCGGGTCGGCGGCGAGCCCGCCTGGCACCGCCGCGCCAGGCAGCAGCGTGCGGAAGCGAGGGTGCTGCTGAGGCTGCGCTCTGCTGTACACGTGTTGGTCCAGCATCATTCCGCGCAGCGGCAGCAGCACCGACAGCGGACGCCCAGATGGTCATGCCCAGTGGAGGCAAGACGTGCAATGTGGTCGGCACGAGGAGAAGAGGACGCAGGAAGAGAGGGCCGCGCCCGCCCAGCGCCAGGAGGAACGAACGAGATGACGACCACAACGGAAGCAAGGAAGAGGGCAGAAGAGGAGGACGCGCTGCGGGCGGGACAGCCAGCTCCAGCGCCGCCCACCCCAAGGAGCTGAAGAAGATCCTCGACCAGATCCCAATGGCGACGCCATCGGCAGCAAGAGCCCACGAAGCCTTCCAGGAGCTCGTGCAGGGCAAGCACATGTCGCTGCAGAAGCAGCAGATCGAGAAGAGGCCAGACGATCTTGGGCTGTTCCTGATGGCGGCGGAGGCCGCGCGCGAGGATGGAACGGACATAGTCAAAGAGATCGCAGCTTTGATGTTCGCCTTTGTGAATCTGCTCCCCAAGTACAAGCGAAAGAAGGAAACGACGAGGGAACTGGAGTACATAGAGCGGCATATCTACATCGCGCAGAATACGACAGGTGGAGAACGGAGCTCGACAAATGGAAGGATTGAAAAGCCAACATGGTGAACGTTGTCGGCGAGCTCAGGGACACGGACAAGGGCGACGCAGACGGTGGCGATGCGGGGGACTACGACAAGCCGAGTAGGACCAAAGGAAACGGGGGATGCTGTCGGCGCCCATCGCCGCCCAGGAAAAGCCAAGAGGATGAAGCAACACCAAGAAGACATAGCAACAACATGGACGACATCGTCGATCGCTTGTCGAAGGACACGCATGCCTTAGAGCTCCAAGCAAGCAGAACACATACATACATGGAACAGAGGACCAACGCGAAGTCCGAGAGAAGCTGCCAAGAGAAAAGCCAACTGGAGGAAGCTGCAGCACGGGGGGAAGCTCTGAGACGAATGAAGGTGGAGTACAGAGCATATGCAGAGATGAGTAGGAGGCCTTGGCAGACGATGGCCGGCAAGACAGCAGCTGCGGCGGCAGAGAACCGAGAGGCCAAGTTGAGGCTCGAATTCCAGGAGGCACACGAGATACACAGAACAATGGAGGAGCACGTGCAATGCCAAAGACAGAGAGGGGATGATAACCCAGGCCATGATCCGGCAGCGCACGTACACGACGAGCACAACAAAGCGGCCAACCGCGCACGGATGCAGCAGCAACCACGCGAGGAAGCTCAGAAGGAGGCTGAAAAGCAACGCAGGATCGAGCAAGAGGCGCCGACGCAGAAAGTGGCACAAGCCAGGGCCATGGCGTCGAGCGGCGGGCAGACCGACGCAGAGCAAAGGGAAGTCGCGAACCAAAGCCACATAGTGATTGGACAGAAAATAGCGGCCCATGGAGGATTCCGAATCGCGACGGCCCGGCAGCAGTTCGAGCAGGTCCTGGCGGCGCAAGGGAATGCGGAGGAGGCAGAAAGGCTGCCGGCACAAGCGCAGTGGGACAGGCAAAGGGGCGAGGAACGCGCGGGCCACAGGAGCCCGCTCAAGCGCGCCGCCCTGCCCTTCCTCGGCGGGGCGATGGATGGATCCCGCAGAGGGCAATCCCCACCAAGCCGCGTCGCGCTGGGCTCGGGCGGCCACCCCGCCCGGGTCGCCGCTGCGGGGTCCGCGGCCTCGTCGCAGAAGCTCATCTCTCCGGGCCCCTGGCCGGGCCTGTCTGCATGCGGTCGCTGCTTCCCCTCCTCCTTGTCCTCCTCCTCCTCCTCCTTTCCTTCTGCTCCCTGCCTGCTGCCCTTTGTTTGTCCCTCTCCAGCCTGCCCTCGCCCCGCCGGCCCCGGCCCCCCGCCCGCGCGTTCGTCGTCGCCTGCCTGCTTCCCCCTTCCTCTCTCGCCCCTTCTCCGGGCGGCGCGGCCAGCCCTGGGCCGGCGTTGCGAAGCAGGGGGCAACCGGCCAAACCGCGCATATTTTGAGGCCATGTCTTACCGCGTGCATTTTATGTGGCGCAGCCCTGTCTGCTCCCAACGCACCGCCAGAGGATAGGGAACAGTTGGAGAATTCGCACCTGCGGCAGAGGACGCGGACTTCAATGCAGCTCTGGGCCGCAACGTCAACGCCGACATGGAGGCGGCGGAGGCATGGAAGGAGCGCGCGGCGAGGACGGCGCGAAGGCAGCAGACCCAGCCTGTTGCTACCAGAGATGAGGACATGCCAGGATGCCAGGCACCTTCTCGATTGCCGACGATGCAAATTGGCAAAGTTTGGAAGCGCGCCGCTGGATCACCCTGCACTTGAAGAGGGGGGGGGGCTCGCAGAACCCCCACCCCCTCCCCCTTCTCTTTTTCAAAGGAGGGGGGGGTGGATTTTCCGACCCCCCCCCCCCCCCCCTAAGAGGGAAGAGGGCAGGGGTCCGGGCCCCCGGCCTTCCCCCGCCCGCGGCGCTGGCCCCCCCCCCACCCCCCCTTTGTGCCGAGCAGGGGGCTGGGGAGCGGGCCTCTCCCGCAAGGGGGGGGAGGGTCTGGCTTCGGGATAGTGTGTAGTGAGTAGTGAATTAGTGAGAAGTGAATAGATCGTAGCTAGTAGTGAGGAGCAAGGAGTGCGTAGTGAGTAGTGAGTAATGCGCAGTGAGTGGTGAGTAGTGAGTAGTTTTTAGTGGGTAGTGAGGAGTGGGTAGAGAGTAGTGGGTAGCGAGTAGGGAGTAGCGAGTAGTGACTCGTGAGTAGCGAGCTGGGCATTGTGAGTAGTGAGTAGTGAGGAGGGAAAAGTCGGTAGTGAGTAGTGAGTAGGGAGTGGTGAGTAGCAAGTAGGGAATAGCGAGTAGTGAGTAATTAGTGGTGAGTAGTTCGTAGTGAGTAGGTAGTAGTGAGTAGTGAGTAGTGAGAAGTGAGAAGTGGGTAGTGAGTAGTGGGTAGTGCGTAGGGAATAGCGAGTAGAGAGTAGTGAGTAGTGAGTCGTGAGTGGTGAGTAGTGTGTGTTGAGTAGTGAGTAGTTAGTAGTGACTTGCGACTGGTGAGTAGGGAGTAGGGAGTAGGGAGTGGTGAGTAGTCAGTACTCAGCAGTGCGTAGTGGGTAGTGAATATTGCGTATCGGATAGAGAGTAGCGAGTAGTGAGTAGTGCGTAGTGCGCAGTGAGTATGGTGCAAGGACTAGGGAGCAGCGAGCAGCGGATAGTGAGTAGTGAGTTGTGGGCAGTGAGTAGTGAGTAGTGAATTGTGAGTACTCAGTAGTGGGTAGTGGATCGTGGTTAGTGGGTAGCGAGTAGCGATTTAATGAGCAGTGAGTAGTGGGTGGTGAGTCGTGTTTAGTGAGTATTGAGTAGTGGGTAGTGAATAGTGAGTAGTGAGTAGCGAGTAGCGAGTTGGGAGTAGCAGAGTGAGTAGTGAGTAGTGGGTAGTGGGTGGTGGGTATCGACTTGTGGGTGGTGAGTAGTGAGTCTTGAGTAGTGAGCAGTGAGTAGTGAGGAGTGAGTAGTGAGTAGCGGGTAGTGAGTAGTGGGTAGTGGGTGGTGGGCATCGAGTTGTGTGTTGTGGGTAGTGAGTAGTGAGACGTGAGTAGTGATCAGTGAGTAGTGAGGAGTGAGTAGTGAGTAGTGAGTAGCGGGTGTTGAGTAGTGGGTAGTGAGTAGTGAATAATGAGTATTGAATTCTGTTAAGTGCCATGGGTAAGGTTTGGGGGTCGGGTCACGGGCGGTCGGGGTGGCAGCGTTAGGGGGGCAGGGGTGGGGGGGGGGGGCGAATTTGGCGGCCACCGGGGGGGGGGGGGCCCCCCCCTCCTTTTGAAAGGTGGGGAGGGTGGGATTTCCCGGCGACGGGCCGGGCGCGGGCGGGAGGGGGGGAGGGGGGGGGGCGACGACGGGCTGGGAAAGGGGAGGGAGGGGGGGGGGGGGGGGGGAGGCCCCAGCGACGGATCGGGGAAAGAGGGGGGGGGGGGGCGCCCCCCGCCCCCCTCTCCTCGGGGAGTTCCAGCGGCGCGCCCTCGCAAAGTTGGGCAGCAGAAGCAGGGGGAGAGGGCGCGCGAGCAGCCCCCTACATGAAGCTCAAGGGCGCGCCCGCTGCCCCCACCCCACCGGCGCGGCAGTGGGCGCGGCAGACATGTGAAGAGGAGGGCGAGATCGACCGGGCGATTGCGGCAGCCGCGGGCGAGCAGGAGACGCGCGAGGCCGAGCAGCTGAAGCTAGAGCACGAGCTGGCCATGAGGCAGGGGGAGACCGATAGGTGGGCGTCGGAAGCGCCGACCCCAATATCGAATTCGCGGAGCACTCCAGCCTCCGACGACTTCCAAGACGCCGCAATCGAGGAGGAGCTGCAACGCCAGGGGCAGGGAATGATCGAGCAACAGGGGGCCGACATGAAGCAGCTGAGGAGCAATGCGCAATCAAGCAGAAAGAGGAAGAGGAGGAAGACAAGGCAATCGCCGCGGAGGTCGAAAGAATGCCGGAGCACGCCAAGAGGGGGCAGGCTGGAAGAGAAGCCATG